ATTAAAATAAATAGGGCTGTCCTGCTTTATATATTGGCCCAGGTTTAAATTGTATAAATGGGTGCCAATAGCATCAAGCACAAAAAAATTTAATCATCCTAAGATAAAGTTCATGTTTTAATGAACAATATAACTTATACATAAGCATATAAGCAGAGAACAAATTGTTTGTTTCTTCCCACCAATCATTGACCTATCAGTCTCAAGTCTCTCTTAGAAAGTAGTCCAAGAAGTTTCAAGAACTGTGTGGAGCCTCTTCGTAGGTAATGAGCATCTCAAGTTGGAACCAGGTGCCAAACCTTTGTTTCCCCTATTATATTTTCTATGGAAATTTCAATTTCTTTGGGATCCTTCTTTGAATAATCTGGTAACCAAATAGATAAAAACATGAGTCTTTTATAATATATTCATTTATATTAGGAAAATTCCACTTTTGCTATTTGAGTATTGTCAAGGTATTTGGAGTGAAAGGGAAGAGGAGGATAAAGAGAAATAGGAGAGGAACACAAATGAAAAGAAAATATATGCAAAAAAGCCATAATGTAATTTATTGCTTTAAGTTGTGTGTTCACCATGTCAGAAAATAGATTGCCCTGTTTGTGTTTTTTCCACAATTTAAAATGTATGCACTAATAATAATTTTACAATGGTCTTGATTTCATTGACTGCAGTTTTCCAAGTAGCCCAATTTAATCTAATACTTACCCATTGTGAAACATAGTTTTTATTTCAATCTTAGTAATATCAATGATCATATCACACATTTTTAATCAACCAAAATATACATGTCACAGAAAGAATACAAATGGTTAAAATATATAGCAAGGGGTGAAGGAATTCAAAGAGACCTTTCTGAAGACAAAAGAAGAGGGGAAAGACAGATGGAAAGATAATAACTAAAAGGGTTAAATGGTTTAGACATATAAATCCAGGAAAGCTAAAAAAAAAAACATCAGTCTTGTGATGGACCTCATAATTGAGGAGGCAAAGTATATTACAATAAGGGGTATACAAGTGATACAAAAGACCAAAGTCATGGAGACAAGGAGCAGAACATGGTGGAGGTATGAAAAGGGATAGAAGTGGAGTTGGTAATTTGAGTAGGGCCTGTCAGCAATAAAAATTTCACTAAGATACTCTGTGAGGGGTATTTTGGTGTTCTCTACATGTGAGTTCATTAGCAAAATTTTATCAGACAATAGATAAGTGGAGACTGATGCAATATTAATGTTAGGGTTCCTCTTCATGAAGTTTTAGAATATTGCATAAAGCAAATTCTAGAATCTGAGTTTTCTTATGCAATTTAAATATACCCATGTGTTCATATGTGTCCAATGTGCTCTAATAAGTTGTATTTGTTGCTTTACTTCTATTGTGATAAAACACATTATGAAGAAATCTTTTATAGAAAAGATTTCGTTTTGTCTGGTATATATAAAAAGTTAAGTTCACACTGATAAGACAAAGGCAGCAAAATTAGTTGTAGGAATAGGCACTTGAGAGCTTATATCTTGAATGAAAACAAAGCAGAGAGCATTAATTGTAAGTATGTAAGGCATGAAGCTCTTAAAGCCCCCCACGGGTAACATACTCCAAATCTACAACTCCTAAGCTTCCCCCAAGCAATATAGGCATAAATTGGAGATCAATTCTTTAAGTGCCTGAGACTATAGGAGATATTCTAATTAAACAATCCTATTGTACTCCCTGGCACCCATAATCTGATGAATATATCATAATGCCAAATATATTTAGTACACATACAAAACTTCCCATACACTTTCATAATTTCAGCACTGTTTAAAAGTCCAATAAAGGAGTCCTGTCCCTGAGATGAGGAGAACCTTTCAGACCAGTGAGTGGGTGCCCTCCAAGGGCAGGGCAGAAAGCCAGGGAAAGGAGCACTGGGCCGCTTCAATTCCTGCTGCAGGGGCTTCTTTTTCCACACATCCCTCCGTCCCCCCTCAATGCCTGCTCTATTGTCTGCAAGGTCCTTGGCCCAGGAACAGTTCCTACTCCTGCACTGAGGCTACCCACACAGAGGGGTGAGTGTGTACCTGCCCAGTTGAAGGGGAGTGCAGGGCACCTCCAGCTCCTGCTGCAGGGGCTTCTTGATTTCACTCTACCCTCCCCTCCCCCCAAGTTTGCCCTTTTGTCTGTGGGGTCCTTGGACCTCCAAGATTCCTGTCCCTGTGATGAAGACATCCTTTCAGACTGGTGAGTGGGTACCATCCTTGGGCAGGGCAGAAAGTCTGGGAGAGGAGCACTGGGCTCCTTCAGCTCCTGCTGCAGGGGCTTCTTTGTTCCACACATCTCTGCCTCCCCGAAACCTGACCAAATGTCTGCGAGTTCCTTGGCCCAGGAACAGTGCCTACTCCTGCACTGAGGCTATCCACACAGAGGGTAACAGTTCCTGCTCCTGCAATGAGACTATACACCCAGAGGGTAACAGTTCCTGCTCCTGCACTTAGGAGATCCACCCAGAGTCAGTCACAACATATATTGGACCAAGACATCAAGACTCTTCTGGCTACATTTAAAAAAAAGACAGGAGGTGTCAATGCAAGAATTCCTCCAACAACCAGAAAGGCAACATGACAACACCAGATTCCAGTAATCATGCAACAAGAAGACCTGAACACCCAATTCGAGAAAAAGTAGAAGAAATTGACTTTAACCTTAACATTATGAAAATAATAGAGGACCTTAAACAGGATGTGAAAAACTGCTACAAAGAAATGGAAAAGACTAAGAAAAACATAAAAGAAATGAATAAATATCTCAAAGATACACAAGAAAACCAAGATGAAGCAATCAAACAGGTAAAGGAAACAATTCAAGACACGAAAAATGAAATGGATATAATGAAGAAAACACAAACTGAGGGAAGGCTGTTAATGAAAAATCTGAGTAATCGATCAGGAACTACAGAGACAAGCATAACCAACAGAATACATGAGATAGAAGAAAGAATCTCAGACACCAAAAATACTATAGAGGAAATAAACTCGTTGATTAAAGAAAATAACAAATCCAACAAATTCTTAAAACAAAACATCCAGGAAATCTGAGACATCATGAAAACACCAAGCCCAAGAATAATAGGGGTAGAAGAAGGAGAAGAATTACAGCTCAAAGGCCCAGAAAATATATTAACAAAATTAAAGAAGAAAACTTTCCCAACCTAAAGAAGGGTATTCCTATGAAGGTACAAGAAACATACAGAACACCAAATAGACTGGATCAAAAAAAATCATCCCCTCATCATAAAATAATCAAAACACAAAACATACAGAATAAAGAACGAATATTAAGAGCTGCAAGGGAAAAATGTCAAGTAACATATAAAAGGAATCCTATCAGAATTACACCTGAATTCTCAATGGAAACCAGGAAAGCCAGAAGGTCATAGATAGATACGCTGCAGACATGAAAAGACCATGGGTGCAAGCCCAGAATACTATACTTAGCAAAGCTTGCATTTAGCATCGATGCAGAAAACAAGATATTCCAGGACAAAAACAGATTAAAACAATACATAGCCACAAACTCAGATTTACAGAAAATATTAGAAGGAAAACCACAAACCAAAGCCAACAATGCACATAATAACACAAGCATCTAGCATCCTCCACCAGCGCAACTCAAAGAAGGGAAACACACAAAAACTACAACCAGAAAAAATATCCAGAGTTAGCAACCACTGGTCATTAATATCACTTAATATCAATGGACTCAATTCATCTTTAAAAACGCACAGGTTAAGAGAATGGATACAAAAACAGGATCCATCATTCTGCTGTTTATAAGAAACACACCTCAACCTCAAAGACAGACACTACCTCAGAGTAAAGGTTTGGGAAAAGATTTTCCAATCAAATGGTCCAAAGAAACAAGCAGGTGTGGCTATACTAATATCTAACAAAATTGATTTCAAACTAAAATCAAGCAGAAAAGATACAGGAACAATTTATCAGGAGGAAGACTCAATCCTGAATATCCACACCCCTACTACAAAAGCACCCAATATGTAAAAGAAACATTACTAGAACTCAAAGCATACATCAAACCCCACGCTCTAATAGTAGGAGATTTCAACACTCCTCTTTCACCAATGGACTGGTCAACCAGACAGAAACTTAAGAGAGAAATAAGAAAACTACCAGACGTAATGAACCAAATGGACTTAACAGAAATCTATAGAACATTCCACCCAAACAGAAAAGAATATACCTTCTTCTCAGCATCTCATGAAATCTTCTCAAAAATTGATCACATAATTGGTAACAAAGCAAACATCCATAGATACAAAGAAATTGTAGAAACCACCTATGTACTATCGGATGACCATGGAATAAAGTGAGAATTCAACAATTCTAACCCCAGGAAGCCTACAAACTCATGGAAACTGAACAGTCAACTAATGAAACACTACCTGGGTTAAGGAAGAAAGAAAGAAAGAAAGAAAGAAAGAAAGAAAGAAAGGAAGGAAGGAAGGAAGGAAGGAAGGAAGGAAGGAAGGAAGGAAGGAAGGAAGGAAGGAAGGAAAGAAAGAAATTAAAGTCTTTCTTGAATTCAATGAAAATAAAGACACAACATACCCAAACCTATGGGACACTATGAAAGCAGAGCTAAGAAGAAAGTTCATAGCACTAAGTGCTCACATAAAAAAAAAATAAATAAAAAATAAAGGCGGCGGCCGCGCCTGCGCGCTGAGGGGGCGGGGTGAAAGGTCACAGCGCGGCGTGGGGTCTGGCTGGAGGCAGCTGCAGGCAGGAGCCCAGTGTCCCGTGTGTACGTGTGGCGAAGCAGAGGTAGCAGCGAGGCGGCGGACCTTCCCACGTCTCCCTGGAGCTTAGGGGCCCGGCTTGGCTTCCGTGGCCTCCTCGGCCCCTCGGTGCCCTTTCCCTCCGCCGAGAGACCGGCTTGTGGGGTCGAGTGGCCTGAGTGCAGGGCGCGGAGTGCTCCAGGCGAGGACGATGGCATTGGTCGCGGCTGTACCGATGGCCTCAGCAGGCGGGGAAGATGAAAGGTAGCCGGATCAAATTGGGGGATGTGACACCACACAATATTAAACAGTTGAAGAGATTGAACCAGGTCATCTTTCCAGTCAGCTATAATGATAAATTCTACAAGGATGTGCTAGAGGTTGGCGAGCAAGCAAAACTTGCATATTTCAATGATATAGCTGTAGGTGCGGTGTGCTGCAGGGTGGATCATTCACAGAATCAAAAGAGACTTTACATCATGACACTAGGATGCCTTGCACCTTACCGAAGACTAGAAATAGGAACTAAAATGGTAAATCATGTCCTAAACATCTGTGAGAAAGATGGCACTTTTGACAACATCTATCTGCTTGTCCAGATCAGCAATGAGTCAGCGATTGACTTCTACAGGAAGTTTGGCTTTGAGATTATTGAGACAAAGAAGAACTACTATAAGAGGATAAAACCTGCAGATGCTCATGTACTTCAGAAAAACCTCAAAGTCCCATCTGGTCAGAATGCAGAGACACAAAAGACAGACAACTGAACAAATTACAAATGAACTTTCTTGCACTTGCTTGTCGTCAAATAAAGACCCATTGATTCCCCTCCCCCTTTTCTTCAGCTTTCCTCCCTTGTTATTCTTCCTTTCTCTCCTCTTAAAGTTTTTAATAATTTCAAGAACTCTTAAACATGATCATGTTTGGATTGTTTAGTTCTCTTATTTTTGTGAGGTGGTTAGGTTGAAGGCAGGAGAAGATAGGTTTGTATACAGTTAAGATGTCCCCAAAATTGGGTGTCAGATGATTGCAATTTTTAGCTAATTTTTTAGCATCCTGCTTTCACAATATTGTTTATTTCAAAAGACAAAAAGAAGCAGCAGCAATATCTTGTTCTCTAATTCATAGACAAGCTTAGTGTATTTGTGGTACTTTGAGTATTAAAGACTATCTGTGGGATGCTATTCCCTGACATTGCCTTCACTCCACCTTTCGTCCTTCAAGCACTCTCAGGAGTTGGACCGTTGTTACCCTTGTGAGAAAATACTAAAAAACTTATTTAGGTTTAAAAGCAGTTTTCTCTCTATTTGCTGATTCCTGGGGCAGCTTGTGTAGGTAGTATTAGACTTTGATCAAAGTATTTGAGTTGAACTGCTATTTAGCTGATGAGTGGCTTGCTTGTTAGCAGATGTTCTTTGTTTTGGTTTGGTTTTTTATTTTTTTACTTCTTTCATGCTGTTAATCTTGTTACTAGAGGCATTAACTTGTAGAGTATGGGCTGGTGAAATGAACTGTTTCAATATCCCAGCTAGAAATATGGCCTTTAACTGACCTAAAGAAAATTGTTATAATTGGTTTTCTTCTCTTGTGTTTCAGTAAGCCCAATAATAGTGTAACCTTATAAATGAAGTTATGTCCTTATAAGCCAGTACCCCTAAATAAACCTGAAGCAAGTGTTTTCTCTTGGACATACAAAATTACATAAACAGTTTAGATGGACTTGTAACACTTTAAGTGTATTTAATGTCAACTAATACAGATTGTTAAGTGTGAGCATTGAGTGTTGATAATATATGAAAGAATTTCTAGACAGTATTTTTGAAAATAACATTGTTATGCTATTGCTTATCTGTTGAAGAATATCCCAGATTTGCTTACACTCTGTGCCTATAATGTTGAGTTTAAAGATTTGAAATAAGAGGAATCAAGACAAATTCCTTCTAATCTTGAAACAATAGAAGTATAAAGTGTTAATACAAATATCACTGTGACCTCCAACTAACAGGTTTGGTTAAGTCCAGATCATTTTCAGGCACATTGGGAGTGGCTCTGATGGGTTGAGAATTGTAATGTGGAGACTTTTTCTCATCTCAAAGATACATGGCATTTCTTAGATTGTCAGTAGTGATAAGTGGCTCAAGAAATGTTTTCATTAGACTTTAGAACAGTGTAGAGTGTATGTTTCCTTTCATTTAACTTTAAAAGGAAGTTTAATACTTCCTCTTAGGAAAATTGTGGTAAGGAAGTCTTTTTTCCAATTAGGTTAAATGGTAAAATTATCTCACAAGATGCTTATACACACTTTATAACACTTTTAGTTTTTATTTGAGAATGTGAAAGTACATAAAGTGGACTTCAGTAGTCTTGAGTGCCAAGAAAAATACAGGGTGTGGGGGATGGATGGATGGGTGGACGGATGTATGTATAGGTAGTGAAATTGTAGAAGTACCATGCTTGTTTCTTGGGTATCGATTTCCTAGACAGTCCAAATCTAAGCCCAGAAAAACAGTTTAGTGTTAAGCACCTTTACTTTCATGGATAAGCTTCAGCTTGCTCTTGCCCAGAGAAGAGGGCATAGATGATAGACAGCATAATTAGTTTGAAGATGTCAACCATTTTGTAAACTGCCAGATAGCAAAATAGATTTTGATATATAAAAGAGTTTTCTGAGATGACACTGCCTCTATTTCTATAACCATTTCACTTGGACTATCTGAGTAGTCCTATGAATGTATCCCTAAATGTGGTTATTGAATACCGAATAGCTGCCTCACAACAATTAAGTACATGTTATTTAAAGAGGAGGAACAAATAATAAAGTTTGAATTGAGTGTGTAGGCTCCCTATTATTGTTTCTTTTTCCACTCTAGTCAGTGATTTAACCTAAATTTTAAATGTATGTATATGGTCAATTGTCCTATATCCGAGTTGCATTACATAATTCCATCCACTTACATAAGGGGAAGATGTGGAAGAACTAGAAACTGGGACTAGTCCATATGCCAGTGAGTCAGGAAATATTAAAGTAACACCCCATGTTGAGTTTGTGGGTTTTGGTTTGGATTTGTTTGTTTTGGGGTTTTTTTCTTTGTTTTTAATATGTGATAAAAATAATTTTTGAGATAAAATAGTAATTGTGTTAACTGGAAGAGTAAAGGCTATCTCCATCATTTTTTCATAACATTGTTTTTACTGTGGGGTAAGTAGGTTAAAATTATTCTGTATGCTATTTGAATTTAGGTTCTAAAGTAAAACACTGTAGAGAAATCTATGCAATATATAATTTGTCAAGATTAATTTTCATCTGGGGAAAGGAACTTTCTAAGTGTCTCCAAAGCAGGTCACTCATGAATTGAAAGTCCTCCAAAAAGAGAACTATTGGGAAGCATGGTGTGTGGTGGTGGAACAGAAAACCTCCCTCAGTTTTTGGAGGGAGTATCTTTAAAGATACTTAAATGGCTACGTTTACTTGGTGTAGTTAAGAATTAAACTTGTCAATTTTACCGTTACTGTTACATCTGAAATAAACTTATGTGATGTTCTGGTAGTGATCTGTCTATAAATGTCATGAAGCGCATTGTGCTGAGTATTACAGTCTGCAACTATAAGTTGTTGTGTACTGTGACCCATACTGTTTATATTTAAGACCCAATTTAAAACTCAATAAAATAGTCCAGGTATGAAAAAAAATAAAAAATAAGAAAACAGAGAGAGCACACATTAGAGACTTAAAAGCACACCTGAAAGCTCTAGGAAAAAAAAAGCAGAATCATCCAGAAGAAGTAGAAGACAGGAAATAATCAAACTGAGGGTTAAAATCAACAAAATAGAAAACAGAATACAATCTAAAGAATCAATGAAACAAGAAACTGGTTCTTTGAGAAAATCAACAAGATTGACAAACCCCTATCCAAACTAATCAAACCTCAGAGAGAGAACACACAAATTAATAAGATAAAAAGTGAAAAGGGAGACATAACCACAGACACAGAGAAATTCAGAAAATCATTAGATCTTACTACAAAAGCCAGTGTGCCACAAAATTGGAAAATGTAAAAGAAATGGACATTTTTTTAGATACGTACCATATACCAAAATTAAATCAAGAACAGGTGAACAATTTAAATAAACCTGTAAGTCACAAAGAATTAGAAGCTGTGATCAAAAACCTCCCTAACAAAAAAAAAGCCCAGGACCAGAATATTTCAATACAGCATTCTACCAGAACTTCCAAGAAGAGCTTAAACCTATACTCTTTAATGTATTTCACAAAATAGAAACAGACATTGCCAAACTCCTTTTTTGAAGCTACAGTTACCCTGATGCCAAAACCACACAAAGACTCAACCAAGAAAGATGCCAATTTCACTCATGAGCATTGACACAAAAATTCTCAATATAATACTGGCAAACCGAATCAAAGAACACATCAAAGAAATTGTCCATAATGATCATGTAGGCTTCCTCCCAAGATGCACGACTGGTTCAACATACACAAATATATCAATGTAATCCATCACATAAATAAATTGAAAAAAAAATATGACCATTTCATTGGATGTTAAAAAAGCATTTGACAAAATTCAACACCCTTTCATGATAAAGTGCTTGGAGAGAATAGGGATATAAGGTTCATATCTAATTATAAGAGCTATATACTACAAGCCGACAGCTAACATCAAATTAACTCAAAGTTTTCCACAAAAATCAAGAAAAGACAAGACTATCCCCTCTCTCCATACCACATCAATATTGTGATTGAAGTTCTAGCAATAGTAATAAGACGACTTAAAGAGATCAAGGGGATTCGAATTGGACAGGAAGAAGTCCAACTTTCATTATTGCAGATGATATGATAGTGTACATAAGCGACCCCAAAAACTCTACCAAAGAATTACTACTGCTGATAAACACCTTTAGTAATGTGGCAGGATACAAGATCAACTCCAAAAAATCAGTTGCCCTCCTATACACAAAGGATAAAGAAGCAGAGAGGGAAATCAAAGAAGCATCACCTTTCATGATAGCCACAAATAGCATGAAGTATCTTCGAGTAACTCTAAACAAGGAAGTGAAAGATCACTTTTACAAGAACTTTAAGTCTTTGAAGAAAGAAATTGAAAAGGATACCAGAAAATGGAATGATCTCCCATGCTCTTGGATTGAGAGCAACAACAGAGTAAAAATGACAATTCTACCAAAAGTATTCTATAGATTCATTGCAGTCCCCAACAAATTCCCAACAAAATTCTTTCACAGACCTAGAGAGAAAAATAATCAACTTTAAAGGGAAAAAGAAAAAACCCAGGATAGCCAAAACAATCCTTTACAATATAAGTACTTCAGGAGGCATTACCATCCTGACTTCAAACTATTACAGAGCCACAGTAATGAAAACAGCTTGGTAATGGCATAAAAACAGAGATTTTGATCAATGGGATCAAATCAAAGACCCAGATATTAACCCACAAACCTATGAACACCTAATTTTGGACAAAGAAGCAAAAATTATGCAATGGAAGAAAGAAAGCATCTTTAACAAATGGTGCTGGCCTAACTGGATGTCAACATGTAGAAGAATGAAGATAGATCCATATCTATCACCATGCACAAAACTCAAGTCCAAATGAATTAAAGATTTCAATATAAATCTGACAACACTGAACCTGATAGAACCGGAGACTACTTCCTATGTAGAACGCCAGTAGCACAGACAATAAGAGAAACAATGAGTAAATAGGACCTCCTGAAACTGGAAAGCTTTTGCAATGCAAAGGACACTGTCATTAATACAAAAA